GCTCAAATTCATATCCAAAGATCTATATGAAAAATTTGGGAATTTTTTCACACTTGTGGTTTGGTTATAGTTTTCAACATATTTTAACAACGATGTTTGATTAATCATTGATATTAATGCGCTCTTACAAGCTGTTTGTAACAATACTATGCCTTTTCATAGTTTTACGGATGCAACACATATAATAACAAATCTTCCGCTTTTAATTTTACACTTTAGCGACGAGGGAAATTGCAGTTCTAGTTCCGACAATGAGGGCAAACATTCAATAACAGCATCTGATCTAGAAGGTCCTTGCTGTGCGCCTATACGTGCGCCGCCCAGTTCGCCTGAGATCATGCATGAGATTCGTAAGGTACGTGTGGCTCACATTTATTTCGTTAAAAACGCGGCTTACAGCACAAAACCGATCCGTTCGCCTACTGCCAATAGTTTCGTGTACGCCGAATGCACAAGGTGATGCATGTATTGGACCAAATATACTTCTCACCTGTTCTTCAGAGGAAGTTCAAGGCACTGGCGCGACTAAAACGTCGCCGTCACAAATTGGGATGCAAGATGGTCTGTTCCAGGCGTGCGACTGGTGGTGGAGGTGTACAAAATTCACCGCATGGTAACGTCGAGAGGCTTGTGAACGGCGAAACTCCAGATCGCGCTCAGATAACGATCAAGACGCCACGCCAGTCGCCTGACTCCGAAAGTTCTGAGAGCAACGGATCTCAGTCCTCAGATTTGTTGACGGATGCTAGCAACGATGTCAACCAGACTGGTAAACAGTCATCCCGTAAGCGCAACAAAAAAAAGAAACACATGTCCACAGAAAAGTGCAAGACTAAAGCATTAAACCGCAAGATGCGTATCGACCGCAATTTGCGACTTTGGCTGGCCAACCGACGCATTTTTATTTTTCGTCGAAAAAAGGTACATTCAAGAACAACAGCCCACCTCACAATACTACAATGAATATTTCTTCGGCGTGCCGAAGCCTATAATTGCTTGCACTATGTTGCGCTAAATGGTCTTGTTTCCATTTTTCTTGATAGCAAAATAATTTATCTGTTGTGAATTTAACGCAAACATAAATAGGAAGAGCAATATCAAACCAAATAATCATAAATATTTCATATAAATATATGCACACACTATTCTATGTACATATTGTACTAAGAAATTGCTATCACTTTTTAAGCTTACTGTCAACATATAATATATCTAAACATTACTTTTGAAGGTTACCCCCGTGTTTCCTATATTTCAGAATCGCCGGCAGCGTGTTCGAAGTAAGCCTGTTAAAAAGCGCGGCGAATTGGTACGCACTGCGCTTGATTTGCCAACGACTGATCCGGGATCTGATTTGCATTTCTCAACAGACGATGAAGAACTTTTCCCAGCAGGTAATGTTACATTTGGAGCGGTGGCGCCACTTCGTCATACTCTACTCCAGAGCGAGTTACAGCGTCGTTATATCGAAGAAATTGGTGACTTGGTTGTCCAGAAACCGAAGTCTGATCACATGCCACCAGAATTGATCGTGACTACCCCCTCCAAGAGCACCGGGGCTGGCGGAGTTAAAAGGTTAGACGTCTATAAACTTACGCCTAGTACAGCGCCCGAGCAGCAAGGCGGTCAGCATAGCCAGACTAATATGACAGGTGCTCGACGTACATATTCCTGGCACAATCTCAACCAAGATGGCAGCCGTGTTAGGCCCAGCTTTATTAACGAATCAAAGCCAGCCTCGAGGATTCATAAGACACCACCGCGCCGGTAAGTGCTACAGTTTCAAGTACCCTAAATTGCCTAAGCCTATACTTACTGTAGCAGTGTACACAGCAACCTAATCCCACTTGGCACTCAAAGACATTGCACTGACAGCCATGGTAAAGACCTGCATGTAAAACTCTCAATGAAACGAAAAATTTGGACAGGAGCGCATGGCGATCCTGACGTCCGACCGTTAGCCTGGTACAAAGGACAGCCCAAGCCAAATGCTCACATGGCAACTGTAATGGCTACGGCAGCAGCGACTACAGCTTTTCGGGGCTCTGGAGGTTCACAAACACATAACATGTTCGGTGCCAGCAACAAAGAACCATTGACATCGGCAGCAGGATCGTCAACGACTTCAGCAACTGTGCCACCTCCCTATGTAGGGGCGCCGCGCAGATCCCGCAAATTGGAGCAAGTGGATTTATTTAAGTAAGTTAGAGAATGTATTACAGTTTCCCGAAAAATGTAAACATACCTTTTGTAGCGCATGTTCACAAAAGCTATTACTCTGGCAGCAAGAACATAAAAAAATACAGCCGTCAAACACACGCCTAATGGGCGGGACTAGCACCAAGCTTGAGTATCCGCAGATCCCCATACGCAGTTGCAAACCAAGCAAGAGCATCAGAACAGCTAGTGGTAACGCTATCGATGTATCTGGCATAACTGGTAAGACTAAGCGCAAATCCAGTATGATTAAAATTGCTGAGACGACACAACTGGTTACACGCTTTTCGCGGACTCATAGCAATGCTAGAGGCTCTGTCAACTTTGGTGTACAGAAACATCAACAAACGACTCAAATGCAACGCCTGATTTTGAAAACTCAACCAGGCAGCGGTGCAGAACACGTTCAAACAGCATCTGTCAGTGGTATGCAATACTCTGCTGGACGCACAACTAACAAGTTCAAGGCTAGTGGCCTAGTCGTTACGGCGGTCCAGCAAGATTCCGGTGGTGCTGGTGGGGTTTCGAGACGAATGCGCCATGCTGGTGGGCCGCTTATAAAGAGTGGCAGCAGCGGAATCGCCACTGGCGCACTCAACATGCCACAATACCGCAATACCAAAACATTGCCAGCAAACAAATCTGTTGCAGGGATTTCCCTAGACACAGTCAGCCTTGTACGGAAGGTGAAAACGAAATTGAAAAAGAGAAAGTCCCGCACGGTAGCGAATGTTGTTACCAAGTGAAGGATATCAGCATTAGCTGAAGCAGTGAGATTCCCGGACATTCCTTGATTCCATAACCGACAACATCCCCTTATCAAAATCTTTCATGTATTTGTATGTGAATTTGTTTTTAAACCAAATTTTAGTCAAATTTGAATTTGTTATAGAAATAATGCACTACGATGTGCGCAATTTTGACCAATTAGGAAAATGTGAAAACATAAATGTAGCAAAATTTATGGAGTACTACAGTTCCCCTTTAGTGTAGGCATTGTGTATAATAACCATATTTTGTATCCAGTATTGAATATTGAATGATTAGTTTTTGGCCCCCATTTCTTCGCAAATTTCGCAATAAAAATTAATGTTTTGATCTAACAGTTTGTTATTCAAAATCCTCTATAGGAATTTAATTTAAATTCATAAAAATAAAATAACAATTACTTGAAAATTCAGCAGCAGTTTAATCAAGCAATGCGGGTTTGACACAGAACTAAGCTCAAATGGTCACAAAATGGGCAATAGAAATTGGAGATTGGTTTGATCGTTTTACATACTCTGTTCGTCTCGTATCGTTTTATACCAGATAATTTATTAAATAGTGCGGAACTTGAATTTAATTTAACATAGGCGAATATTAAGTGCAAGTAAACAAACTGATAATAGATATTAATATCGGATACATATATCGATATATATATAAGCAACAAACTAATAATGCGTTCTTACTGTAGGGGCATATACACTCACATCCAAAATCAATAAGAGGTGGGAAACGCAAGCGTTTAATATTACCGACTTTATTATTATGTAGTGAGCTGTTAAATTAATATGCGACAATTTCTTGCTACTTTGCCAGTCCAGTTTTATGGTTAAATTGTGGCTTGTTTAAGGCGTAATTATATACCTTTAATTGAAATAAACTATTGGCAGAAACATTTTCTCAACCCAATGGTTAGGACCATTAGAGTAGTCAGAGACTGCGTTTGAATTAATATAATTATAATTCAATATTTCCCATTTTGTTGGCAGCGCTTAAATTCATTGTACGCAATTTAATATTATCGCATTAAATGGAAATGCGCTTACACTATAACATATGCCAAATGCATGCTTATTCTATGCAGAAGGGCTGAAACCCTACATTTTGGTACATTGTGATTTTAAATAAATAACATATTTCTGTATGGAAACGGCAATATGTGAAAAGAGAGGGAAAGGAACCCTAGAAAGAAGAAAGTTACCGAAATAAATAATACTATGAGGAGACAATATTGACCTTGTCTACTTCAATTAACGTGAAATACAGAGTGGATTTCTTGAGAGTATTTATTTCAGGAGAATGAAAGATCATGTTGTAATCAACGCTCTCCGAGTGTATATAAAATGGCAGGACTTGGTTGCGTGCCCGATTCGCTCAGATAGGCTCTGATAAGAGCCAGCCAACAGTCAAATGGAAAGTCCGCGATGCACTCGGTCATCAGCCAGATGCACTTATGTACATATAAGTTAACACATCCAGCCAGCTATGGGGGAACAGCGTTTCAACTGTTGCATTTGACGTTATCGGCAGCACCGAGGGTTTACTTAGTTGGTTGCGTGCGATATTATCGGCCACGCCGATATCTTTTTGTCATATGGTCAGAGTATGCGGGGTGAAGCTGGGCCCATGGCGGAGCCCAACTTTTTGAAAGGTGGCAACGCCAGACTTGCGATCCACGACACCAAAAACCACGATTGCTATTGGCCGCCCGGTTCGCTCTTGAAGAGAATATGAGGAGAGTGGATCGCATGCCCTTGGATATGCCCTTGGCAGTCCATTGGGCCAATGACCCAAAAAATGCAGCTGTGCAGATGGGCAGCAACGGTGCCCTCGCCAATGTATGCGTGTGCCGAAATTCGGCACCGATGATGTTGCTGCCCAAATGTACGGGGAGTTCGACTTTGTCAGCGGTCCACAGCGGACGTACCGGCTCGCAGTTAAATTTTGTGAATTTGGATATTTTTTTTACCGGCCACGGAGCATGTGCTTAACCAAAAAGAAAAAATGAAAGGGCATACATTTGTTCATGACGGGCTTTCTTTATTATTTAATTGGCAAGATAATTCCTTATCTGCTAACTTATTGCAAAATTAATAGTGCACAAGAGCGATAATACACGAAACAATAATACACCAGGAACACACTGTCATTATTTAAAACCACTATAAAAGCGATACTCTATTAGAGCAGCCGCAGCCATTCGGTGGCACACCACGTTTGAATTCCACGCTGGCCAGATCAAGCCAGGTATTCTCGGGCCGGATTTTCAAAGCGCGGCCAAGTGTCGGCGTAAATCACACGATGGAGAGACGAGCCATCACGGACGGGTCTCATACGCCGAAGAGGCAGAGTCAGACGCGGACTTCCCATTGTTCTGAAAGAGAACCGCCTTTTTTTTTTTTTGTTATTAAATACATAAAAATAGTCACGACTAGTTTAAATTAAGTAAATTTCCGAAAGTACGAGCCGGGAAGGAAAGGGTCCAAAGATTATTGCGTCTGCCAAGTAAAGAATGAAGTTATAAAGGTTTAGATTTTGGTCAACTTATGCACGAGTGATACCCACTTATACGTATATATATGTATGTTACGCACCTCAGGTGCAGGTGCCCCCACCCAGAGAGCTCTTTAGGCAGGCAAGGTAATATTAGCGCTTTGACAAACAACGCCATTCGTTGGAAACACATATGTACACACGCTCCCCATTGGTGCAATAATTACCTGTGTTTATATTTCTCCCCTTATTTTTCTTTCCTTTGTTGACTGGCAATAACTTCTGCCCGTTTTTGTTTGGTCTCAGGTATTGTATGAAGGTCGCCAACAAAAAAAATGTATTCTGTACAAAAAAAAGAAATTTAATATATTTAAGATTAATAGAAATTGTTATAAATATGAAACGATGCAACGCGTTATAGATAACTGTTGAAGCGAAGTTGAAAGATGAAAAAAAATTGAAATTCAAAACTTATATCCATTATTCTAAATATAAGAATATACCAACTTATCGTATGCACCTGGTTTAAATTGCCAGAAATGTTCGCGAGTACGAAATTATAAATAACAGCTTGAAGATAACCCGCAGGGGAATAAGAAATAAGATTAAATGATAATAACGATAAGAAATGCAACCAATTATATGCCGTATCTGAAGAGAGAAATGTCCGGCTAAATTTTCTTTGATGGGAAGAGTTGGCATAACAGCCGGCACAGGCTGATGGCCATCTAATGGCAAAATGAGGGAGACGAGTGTAGGTGATCGTCTCATGGTAGGGTGGGTACGCTGGGTCCGGAACCGGGGCCCGATCTGGAAGAGTAAGGTGGATAAATAGTGTTTTTTTTTTAATTTATATTGAGTGTCTCACCTTTGTTGTTTACATGTTCATAGTTGTTACAGCTGTTTATTTTGTTCATGAGTTAGAAGTTCCGATTGTTTGACGTTATCGTTTTGTGGTTCGCTTTGCATAGTGTAAGTCTGTTTTGCTACAGACGTGTATCTTCGTTGTTATCGATTGTGCGGACTGCGGGCCAGGGATGTGACTACACCCAGAGAAACCGATGAGCCAGCCAGCGCGGCCCCCCGAGAAAAAAGCAGTATCGTAACAATATGGCGCCCAATTTGAAGAAGCACTCGGCTTCCTTGAAGTCGGTGCACAACCAAGGAAAAATAAATACGATATAAATGAAGGAACAGAGAAAAGGATTCCTTTGGACCCACACTGCTGAAGTCTTATGTGGCACGAGTAGGTAGCTCATAATCGGGCAAAGTGTAGTGGAATCCGAGAAGCGCGACGAAGAATATCCATAAACATGAGAAGTTTTCTTGTAGTGGTTGATGACGGTAAGTCACGTTTGCATGTTGGCGAAACGTGCGCGACCGTTTATCGTAGCCTGGTGGTAGCCGCCACGACAAAATAACTTGTGATAGAATGTGATATTAGGGTAGGTCTTACTAGAGTTTGTTTAATGTTTTCTATTTGTTTTGTCCCACTCTGTGCTAACGTTTGGGGTGTGCTGGCCGTAGTTAAAAAGGAGCTTCGGAGACAGGTGACCCAGGACGATATAAAGCCGATCCTGCGCCGCACACAGCATACCCTAAGGGTGCACAGATGTGCGACAGAAACCAAATAGCCTTTAAGGTAGCGTTCCTTGAATGCCGTTCGTCAGTCAAACGGACGAACTGAGCATTTCACGAATGCTTAAGTGTTGTCCACTGTCCAGATTATGCGTAGATTAGTTAGCCTGTGTTAGGATTTGTCTTCTCTCCGCCAAGTATTTGAATTAATTAGAAAGCAACTAATTTATTTTTGTGTCGAGCAGGGACCACGAACAGGCGGCATCCCGAAAGATCGGGAAGTGTTCCAGCGCGAGGCATTTTCACCACCGGTGCCACCGAAGCCACATAGATGAGGCGCACGAGGGGCGGAGTATTCGTCCAGCAGCCCAGATTACGTCGCAGATGCTCAGTCGAGGAACTGGCGTAACCCGAATAACCGCCATTTCCGAGTAGAGGACCGGAGAGCGGAGGAGGCGTACGCCAACGTACGAGAAACGGCGTACATGAAGCTCGAGCGGTGGAACGTCAAGTTCGGCGAGGACGCGATGAATTCGGTCGAGGACTTCGTGTTCCGCCTGGAGTTCCTGCAGAAGCAGTATCAATGCCCGTGGAAGGAGGTCCTGCGCGGTTTCCACCTGCTCCTGACCGGCCGCGCTCGCGAGTGGTATTGGATTCACGCGCGGCATTTTAGGGTCGACAGCTGGATGCATCTGCGGCATGCCCTCTTGGACAAGTTCCGGGGCTACCAGACGGAACACAATGTGATGCAGGAGCTATTACAACGAGAGCAAGAGGCCAGCGAGGGGGTGGATGATTATATCCTGGTGAAGAATATAAAGCGCGGTTTGAAAGAAAGTCTGGTGAAATATATCTATGCCATGGACGTACTCACCGTGGATGAGCTGCGTCAAGAGAGCCTAGAAGTGGAGAGGCACATGGGTCGCATAAGCCGGACGGGGTACCTGCCGCCGTCGCGTTGTCCACAAGGAACGAGGCCCGTAGTCCACGAGGTTGAAGTACCACCACATCGTACAGAAACGCCGCCGGGAGAACTGGAGGAAGCATTAGTGCGAGGCAGGAACTCATCCCGACTTGTATGCTGGAGCTGCAGACAGTTCGATCACGTCTTTAGAGACTGTCTGGAGCGGAAAATATTCTGCTATAGGTGTGGAAAGCCGGACACTTTCTGCTCCCAGTGTGAAAACTATCCGGGAAACCCCAGAGGGAGCGCGGGTATGGCGGGACAAAAGCCAATAATCATTGGAAAGGAGACGGAGACTTGAAATAAGCATCAGGATAAGGCTAATTATAATAATAATATAAGCAAAGGAGGAACACTTAGGGGCTTACTATATGAAGAACGTGTTCGGGCATACATGTCGGCCCGAAATAGAATTTTTGGTGAGCGACAGCTAGAAGGGATGACACTAGCCACCCGGAAAGTGGTGAAGGCACGTGCGCGCTTCCGCAGACGCAGGATTACCCGGCACCAGGTCGTCGAAGCGGTGAGACGGGAGGATAGTATAGACCCACGCGTATTCGCCGAAGTGGAAGTCGCCGGGGCCAAGATGAAGGGGTTGCCTCAGTCAGTCTGTTGGGACGAGGATGCCGGGAGTTAGTGTAGGAACTGGGATGGGAAGCGGGGGGCATACGAATCGATGGTAAGGACAGCGGCTGGTGCCAATCGCACAATTTTAGGTCGCGTTGTTCTGCCTGTGAAATACGAGAATAGAAAGGATAATATCGTATTTTACATGTGCCCGGACCTGCGACGGGAACTTGTACCAGAGCTGCTCGGTCCGGCCAGAAAGTCCGAAACACCCCCAGAGGCATCTGAGGTAACGGTAGCGAGCCCAAAGGTGGCTTATTACCGGGACGACGACGACTGCGCGGCGGATCCGGAAATGTGGGATCTGGACAACGACCAGAGGAGTCAGTTGGGAAGCGTGAAACGCAGATTTCTCCAATTTGAGAAGGATGGCCTAGAAAAACTCACCTGCTGTAGCACCGAATTCAGCTGATCGAGGGAGCAGAACCCGTGAAGGACAGACATTATCCGCTGTCTCCGGCCAAACAGGAGATCGTGTGAGCCGAGGTGGATAAAATGCTAAAGTTAGGCATAATCCAGGAGAAGAGCAGGGTGTATACAGTACCAGGGAGGCTATTGTACCATTTCCGCCACACACCATTCGGGCTCTGCAACGCCGCTCAACAACTTTGCAGGCTCATGGACAAGGTAATCCTGGCGAATCTGAGGTCCAACGTGTTCGTATACCTCGACGATTTGCTGATAATATCGGCAGATTTCCCAACACACCTAAAATACTTGGAATTGGTGGCCGAGTTTCTGAGGAACGCGAACCTCACCATAGTCATGGCGAAGTCAAAATTCTGCTTCCGCAACCTAAACTACCTGGGTCTCATCATAGGCGGCGGGACGCTGCGCATGGATCCGCGAAGAGTAGAAGCGATCCGGAACATCCCGAATCCGAGGACGGTCAAGGAACTACGAAGCTTCTTAGGTACAGCGGGGTGGTATCGACGATTCATAAAGAACTTCGCCGAGATCTCGGTACCGTTGACTGATGCCCTTAAGAAGAGAACGGGTAGATTTGTGTTGAGTGACGAGGCCATAGATGCCATAGGTGCCATCTCACTACGGAGTAGGAGCCGTGTTGTTCCAGCTAGACAACGAGCAACAAGAAAGGCCGATCGCATTCTTCTCGACCAAACTCAACAAGCACCAGATCAACTATTCGGTGACCGAGAAGGAATGCCCAGCCGCCAAACTGGCCATACATCGATTTCGACCGTACGTTGAGATGATGCCGTTCACGGTAATCACCGATCATGCGAGCCTGCAGTGGCTTATGGATCTCAAAGACTTGAGCGGGAGATTAGCCAGGTGGTCCCTAGAACTGCAAGCGTTCCCTTTCTCCATGCAGTACCGCAAGGGAGCCGACAGCGTCGTCGCAGACACGTTGTCCCGAAGCGTGGAAGAGGTCGAACTGACCCCAGAGGATCTGTTGGGATTTCAGATCCCGGAGTTCGAGAGCACCGAATATCAAGAGCTGATAAATGAGGTGATGAGCTAACAAGGGAAGTTGCCGGATCTTAGAGTGCAGGACGGACTTCTGTTCAAGAGGAACGTGAACGAGAGCTTGGAGGATGAGGTCGAAGGCACAAGTTGGAAGCTCAGGACTCATCCAACAAGCACACGCGGACGAGACGTTAGCTCATGGACGCATGAGGAAAACGCTGCACGCGCTGCGCAAGCGATATTATTGGCCCAACATGGCCATACAAGTCAGGGACTATGCACGGAAATGCGATACATGCAAGGAGACCAAGGCACAAAACTACCGGATGCAGGTCGGAATTGGGGAAGAAGTGCGCTTCCTGGGGAAGTATCGACGCTCGAAATGAGGGCATGCGTGGATATTCGTCGTCGTAGACCACTTTTCGAAATGTACCTTCCTGAAGGCCATGAGGGAAGCCACCGCGGCGGATGTCGTGAACTTCCTAGTGCATGAGGTGTTCTTCAAATTTGGCGTGCCGGAAGTGATCCATTCGGATAATGGACGACAATTCGTGTCAAAGTCGTTCGATGCGATGGTCCAGGCGTTTGGCATTACTCACCTGCGCACACCAGTGTATTCGCCTCAGAGCAACGCCAACCGAACGCGTGAACCGCACAGTGCTGTCTGCAATCAGAACCTACCTGGGTCAGGATCATCGGTATTGGGACGCGTACCTACCAGAGGTGGAAGTGGCGATCCGGAATGCGGTCCACAGCGCTACGGGAGTGACTCTGTTCTTCGCGGTCTTTGGACAGCAGGAAATTTGCCCAAAATCCGAGACAGTTTTATAATTTTGTTAACTTGAAGCATAAATTTTCAAGTTTGCCATCTTCTTTTTCTCTTGGGATGGATAAAGCTAGCAATGACACTGATTCTGCTAACCTCTTTGCTAATTTTTTCCAATCAACTTACTCTTCAGTCTGTCCTAATACTAATTCTTACCCTTATATATTTCTTCCGCTAGTTCTATACCTTCCCCTATTATTTCACACTCCTCTCTCCTTTTAGCTATAAACTCTTTAAAATCTTCTTACTCTCCTGGGTCGGACAATATTCCTAGTTGTCTACTCAAGGAGTGTAGTTCTTCCATTCTTTATCCATTGCTAAAGCTTTTTAATCTATCCCTCGAAACTTCTGTCTTTCCATCTCATTGGAAAGAATCTTATATCATTCCTCTTCACAAGAAAGGTGGGAAGTCTGATATACAAAATTACAGGGGCATTGCAAAACTGTCCGCTATTCCTATATTATTTGAAAAAATAATCACTTCGCATTTGCAGCATTTCTGCAAATCAGTTGTTTCCCCTGTTCAACATGGATTCGTAAAGAAT